GTCTTATCCAACCTGGTTTATTTGGCTGACATATTGCGGTTCAATGCTCAAATATAAAACTAACAATTAAATTCGACGGTCGATGGTCACGTCTAAAACCCGAATGTACTTAGGATGTATCCATGCCAACTAAAAACGGAACGACCACCCATGAATAGATATGCATATACAGCAGTCCCGAGGAAGTCATAACTAAACTGAACTCATTTCACAATTGGAGTCCCCATAAGGAAGTGTACCCATTGTAAATATTTCCAAAATTTTACAATTAAAGTATCATTTCATACGATCACCTTTTCGCGAATACCTGGTACTGGTATCATCCCTATTTGATAGTGATTAATAAACACATTCTCGTGTTATAGTCGGAATGGCTTTTAGCAGAGACGTCTTACGAATGTTGCTTTTGTTTATTAAGATTAGCTTTGTTTGCGTAAATGTATGTTCCTTGAATAATACTATTTTGACATGCAAATATTTGCTTTTGTGGGTTCCAGAAACTGTAAGACTAGTGTACTTTATATCACCACAAGCAAGAAAGTTTAATTTCCTTTACTTTAGGCTTGTCATACGTTAACGTTGGTCCCTTGACAAATTAAAACGCTCCGTGTCAGAAGTATTTTATGTATTCCTTCTGAAAAGCCTAGGTTTCCTGTGTGATGAGTATCTTCAGGTTGTAACTTGATTCAAATGTACGGTAAATCATCCAAACACTACATAAAACCGGTGAAGGATTTGTAATGGGAAAACAGCTTAATACAATTAGCACCGGGGCTGGTGTGCTCTGCTTTTCAGTTAACTGGTTATTGTTTGTGTCTCGAGAGACCTGAACATTGAAATTGGAACATCATATCTGTATTCATATTTCGATAAATTAGGTCGCAAGTTTTGTAAAACCTCAGATATAACGCATCTAGATTTCTACTGCTAGAGAAACAGATATTTTAAAACCACCTGAAGCATAATTATTTTTTCAAGAATGTTTGGAGACAATTTATTGTTTTAGATAAAATGCCAGGCACCCTCCCCCAGAATATGAAATGGTTGATACTGCATATAAGCAATATGAAATGAAAGTGTCTACTTAAGGTTATTCCATATCATGAAGCAGAGGTTATTCTTGGGTCTCTTTTTTTCTTTCCCCCCATCATTAATTTCCATGTGTAATAATGTATGCATCCAAATGAATAATATGCTGACGTCTCCTTTATGTTATATAAACGATTTCGTGTTTTACAACATAATACTTTTTACAATATAATACCTTGTGATCCTTATCAAGTTAAGTGTGTGTTAAGCGCAATGTGCCTTCTGTTGGCTCACGTCGCCTTTACTCTATAATACCACCACCACCTTCAGACGATAGGTCAAAGCGAGAACATGACCTAGAATTAGTCCGAGTATGAATCATGTAATCGGTATCACCTACGACTTTTGAAGACATTAATGCGACGTACATGGACAATATGAATAACAAAAATCGAACATCGTTCAATCACCAAAAGCAGTTCATTTATGCGAGTGAAATGATGACATCTGCATGTATTGAGTTAGGTTATAGGTAAACTTTTAACACGAAACTGTCACAATAACACGCCATTTACACTCATTTTGACCCATAAGAACATATGTGCTGCGCCATGACAGCCACCCGTAAGCCTTTTACTGTTTTGCAAAATAGTGAATTGATAAACTTTTACGCCATTTGGCAATGCGCAAGTCATATCAGAATCAACTTTACATAATTGTACTAATGCAGAGAATCGAACCTGGGCTTTCAGAGTGGCAAGTGAGCGCTTAAACTACTAGGCTACCCAGCGGTAAACTCCCATACCTCCCATCTGTGAAACGCCAGATGTTGCGGTTGATTTACTGCCTAATTCTATGCCTGCTTAATAATTAAATACATTGTTCCAGTAAGTAGCGGACGCTTGGGGCGTAGATGTTGACTGACTTGTGGAGAAGTTGTGTGCATGCAATAGTTCAGTTGATTATTTTACAAATTCAGTTTTAATACTGTTGTGTATCACATGTATGTTTGAAGGGGTTTCATACGGACACGAGATAAAAAGGGAACGTGACGCGATATTGTTACCTTTTAATAAAAGGATTGAATTCAGTAGCAATTAACATTGACATCGTTTTCAGTTCTGCTCTGTTTTTGGAGTACTCGCGAGAACAATTTAAATTTATAGATGTGAGACCATTCTATGTGTAGTGTACCTTGATCTTTGTTGTAAGAAGGCCATACGGTGAAACTATAATGGAACTCACCAGGCTTACCAGGTTACATAATGAATATGGCCTCACGATGATCAGGGTTGATCGTATCCTCAGTATCATGTAGAATAATATAACTTGATTTTGACACAGAGAAGATATATTTATTTTACTAGTGCATATCTCGTCTCTTAAATGATTTTAAAAAGCAAATTGTTTTAATTGATGCGTTTACTCTAAGACAGTCCCTGACATTTTCTAACTATGAAGGTATGAAAAGTAACAATGACAAAATGGACAATAATATAAATCTAAACAGAATAACATGCATTTGTGACTGCATTTGACATTACGAGCTACGACAATGTAAAATCAGATGAGCTCTATTTGAAAACGTTATTGATTATATTTATTATTTTGATAAAATGTATCCTCTTGCTTTAAAACTTGAGAAAATACAAAATTCCTCCGATCTTTATGCATTTTCTCTAAATATCAAATGACATTTGTGTACTCGTAGTCATACAAGACAATGAATAATGCAAGGATTGATGAAAATATGCTTTTAGCGTGGGAACCTACATAATGTTTGTTCTTTAATTACACGAATAGCATACATCTCTATGATGAATTTAAGGTTTTGAATCTTATAAATGTTACATATATGCTTTATACTAATTTAAACTGGAATATGGAATGTGTCAATAACATGACGTGACAGAACCCATTTCCATTGCACTAATGTCCTGTGGAGGAATACTCATTTTGCAACAAATTGATCAGAACAAATGTTCACAGACGCTCCACCAGACAGTTGTTAGGGAAGACACAGACTGAAGAAAATATTAGAACATCCCTTAAGACCTAATTAAGAAAGACATTTAGGGCCATCATTCCGTCTTTGTGACACTTGGAGTGATATGGGACCTAAGTTCCTAACAATGGCTGATGTGCCCAGGTGAAAAAATACTGCTGGGATGTAATGGTCACTGCTAATGAGCATGCAGATGCTCTAATGATGTAGAAGTCTTTCCGTGCACTGCCAGGGAAGCGTAAACTGCATTGAAGGTTCGAAATATTATAGCCTAGATAACATCGGCAGTTTGCACTTTGTGGTTCAGATATGATTAAATCATGTCAGTGTAGTACCGGGGGACCTGGTTGCCCTGCCGTCAAAAGCATCGCAGTTCGCCGTGCAGAGTTGCGTTTCTTAGGCGTGCCAGAATCCTATGATCTTTGATTCGAATCCCGGTTCAGCTTGATTATGTTCCTAGGTATGTCAGCACCATACCTTTACTCGTGAGTACCTTTACAGCGAAGTAGTGAACATCAAAGACCTGCTTCACTTTCTGCTTTCCTCCATGGAATGCCGTGATATAACTGAAATACTATTCAATGCGGCGAAAGACCAAACCTATTCACAGACTCACTCACTCTGTCAATGTAGTACCGGTGTTATAAATATCATTTAAAGTTGCATATTTCCAAGCTTTTTAAATCTTAAGATTGAGGTAATATAATCCTTAAAAGTTTTTTTCGAAAGGATCGAAATAGAATCGCATAGTGATCAATTAGACTAGTTTTAACACTGTGTGCTAACACAATATTACAATTACTTAATTTGAACTTTATTGTGTGAGTAAAGTTTAACGTCAGTTATTGCCGTTGTATTGAGCATGACCACATCAAGGATTGCCTTGACACAGTTTACAAATGTGGTTAATGTGTTTGACATGGGAAAACAACATAAGTTACAGAAGTTAATATAAAAACAATACGTTGAATTAGAAAACATTCTGCACGTACACGGAAAATGAATCACATGAATTCATTGCAACCAGTGCACTGCTACACAGATCAACATGTCAATGATGTTGAAGCAGTTCAGATTAGTTTTCCTTCAAGGATAGAGAACAGTGACACTGATATTTCAGTGCCGCTATCATGTTATCTACTTAGAGTCATGTAGTTAACCAAGGTTTCCATCAACCGTTATAACGGGATTCTTCTATCTTGTCACTGATAATTATCAGCGAGGACGTGATGCGTCCAGAGCAACATTGCCCAGGTAACTGAGGTTACATTCACAAGGTCGTTTTATAATATGTTGCAACAATATTTAACATTTTAAAACTAAATTGTCTTTCTCCATACACAGATATAGGAATCAGAACACATTTGTTTGGGAAAATCACAACGCATATGTTAACACATATATTATATCTATAATCAGCTTAGGGAATACATGTGGAGACAATTATGTTTAAATATAATCAAACACTGCCCGTCAATTAATCAGTTGCTCAAAAATGGTTTAAATGAGCTTGTAATGCACGTGTTCACACTACAATATTACCACTTGCAATTCAGAATGATTCCGTACATATGACATACCTGTACATTAGGTATTAACATATCCGTACAACATATACAACTAGTATGCCTAAATAATCTGTCATTTTGTGCCTTGCCTTTTTGTTGGCTGACAATAAAATAAGTTTAGGAAAAGAAATGTTTTTAAACCAACAAACTTGCATATTGTAAAAGAAGGTCTAGTATGTTATAAACTTGTGGCTATATCTTCAGTTTGCTGCCAAGAAAATATGTTTGTGAAATTAAATGTCTCTTTATATATGACATGCCCGGTATATTGGTCATAAAACAAAAGCCAAGTAGGTTGTCAGCTTGAGTCAAGGTTTTCAGTAGCTGACAATGAATTCTGTATAAATAAATGAACATTTGTATGACTGACTCCTCTTTTCCTTCACACGCACTCTCAGAGGGCTAAGGACCCGGTACGTATCACACACATGTTTTATGAAACAAATGTTTATGTGTTCATTTATGTCATGATTCTTATGTAAATTGCAATTGTGTGCAAGATGTTACTATTCGTATCCATGCATATATCTTTGTACACAGACACGCTTAAGAAAACAGTTTTACAAAAGATGACCCACCTCGTGCATGTCTGTGTGTATGTGTCTGTGGACTATATTATAATAAAATAATAAAGTCCACATTGGTCCAACATCTTCTTTAACATTTAAAAGTACCAGGCAACCCAAAAATCTCAAGCAAATTCTTTGTCCATCCAAATATTCTTGTACAGAGAGTGTATCATGTGTTAGTAGATGTAACACACCAAGATGCGGCACATGTAACATCATAAGTGTAGGTATTACTTTCCTTTTTTTGCAAACGGCAAGAGTTTCAGTGTGAAAGCCGACATGAACTTCCACAGCAAAGATGTGGCGTATGCAATGAGATGTTCGGGATGCGGCGAAAACTACATCGGTGAAACCGGCATGGAATTAAAAGATGGAGTCACTGTACACAAACAGCAAATTAGAGACCCTAATGTTCGATGCCTAGGTGTCAGCAAACACATTAATAATTGCGGAAACGGGAAATTTAGTATTTTTCCGTTTTATAAATTGTATACCTGTAATAAGCAGCAGAGACTGGAAAAAAACCAAATGTTTATCCGATTGGTGAAACCCAAATTGATCTCTTGAGTGCATTAATACATTTGTCATTTCAATCGTAAATGTAACACTGCTACTTTACAAATACTGTAGATTTTAATTCAAATGTCTCCTTACAATTGTTAAAATACTAGAGTGTGTAAATACATTATGACGTCACAGTTGTAATTTATGACGTCATCATAAGTATGACATCATTCATATGTCATTGTAAATTACACTAAGGGCTGTCATGAGACAGTGGAAGTACTAGGCCTGAAACAGATATAAAGAAGATGTTGGACTAACGCGGACTTTATTATTTTATTATATATAACATGTCACCGAGTGAACATTCGTTGCCTCGCTTTTTGGATACATATATGAGAATCTGCTTCCCACATAGCAATGGTTCGTATCACTTTTTTGGTATCATTACATGTATTTCATCCTTTGCATACCAGTAGCTTAATGCATATCTAATTATCTACCCTGCTGAGCAGGAAAGGCTCCAAAGTCTTAATTATAGATTTAATGGATGTCAATGTCTGCATGTGCGCCAATTTCTTATGTTTTTTCCCTCCAGTTGGTGGCCTTACATTCCTACTGTCGGGATGCTAAGGAGTATTGTTCTGCACAGGGACAACAAGGTAGGAAGTTATATTACTTGAAATATTTTACAAAAAGTAGGTGTATTGCATGTTAAATGTGTGTCGAACATTCTATCAATTAGATGTTTTCATAACCATCGCAAATGCCTATTTATAACACATGTAATTACTTTCTTGGTTTGGAGATTTTTGGATAATCGATATATGTTTCCTTTCTTCTTCCTTCTTTAATTATAAGTATGGCATATAGAATGTAAATCATAACTCATGAAGTAGTTGTAGTTTTTCGATTTAGGGCAACGATAGGGCTGGAAACTAATTTCTTGAGTTACCTTCTCAAGCTTCATATCATGTGGTTAGTGTTTTAGTATCCTTGTCATGTGGTAATATATAAATTGCATGTGATTCCGTTGCATTTGATTGGCTAACCAAGCACTATTTCGTGTATATGAGTGTATTTATTAGTACATGGAATTTGGCCATATCTGGTAACGGGATATTGTTTCATGGTTGGCTGATATAAGAGTTGGCGGGGCATTATTGTGCTGAACAATGCCACTGATTTCGTATTGTAATCTACAGTTACATGTATATTTGTAATCATTAAATAGGTAACATGAGAAGTTATTATTGCTGACGTATGTATGTATACGAATTGACTTCAATATGTTCTTTGCGGATATGGTTTTATGAACAACAAACCTCGATAAACGCGAACCATATAAAAAAAAAAATCAATTCTAAAATTCAGGCAAATGTGGCCAACAACGAGAATACCACGTCTTGAGGACATCATACATTTTTGGAGTGATATATATGTATATACATACATTGAATCATTCTGATGCCTAAAGTATTATAACTAACGTCAACGTGGCCCCTTGTGGCCTAGATATTGTGTGGGAAGATAGTAGAGGAACAAGGAGAAGAGCAAGACGTTCTGAATATATGAAGATGGAGAACTTCACAATGAATGTCGAGTACTAAATATGACCAATGAGCGATTAGAGAAAATGAAACGAATTCCGATTACCACATGTGAAACAATTAATGTTGATGTATAAAAATACCGACTTAACAATGTATATATTCATTTGTAGGTCCGCCCGGCGTTCCAGGATCAAGAGGCGAAAAAGGGGACTCGGGGGCTCCAGGTGCACTTTACACACATTGGTTATAAACCATGTTAATTTAAGTTACCTGTGTACATTATCTTTCGGGATAATACAATGCCAGGCCAATGAACGTATTCACCTATGTTTGATGGTGGCTAGAATTGAAACAAACAAGACTTGGTTGTTCGATCGTGATCTATTTGTCACGGGTACCATAGGCGATATGATTTGCATAATCTCAATGAGTATCTCACAAGAAACATAACGGTCGCATTTTCACAGTACACAATATTGAGTAGAGTGAAGTGTTAATTTTGGAGTGTACACTTTCCGTTGCCTACCAGTTTACTACCACTCACCTTGGCTTAAATTAAACGCTAATGTCCTTCTTAATGGCTGTTTGTCACACGGTCTAGACAAGATGGAGGCGACATTTACATGAATTCATTGGAACAATATCAGTGTCAAATCGTCTCGGTAAACAAAAGCCCCAAACCATGAATCAGAACTATGAATTCCTTGGTCTTGATACGGATTCATCCTTGGAAAGAACACTTACAGTTCATTTCAAAACAGGAAAGATCATTGCTCCACTGGAATTGGTAGTTTTTATTTTGATTTATGTTGGATAGGAACATTTCCAGTTTGTGTCAGTAAAAAAACTACACTTGCTTAAAGTTTGGTCATCATTATTGTACTAGATTTCGTAGTTTCCATATCGATTCTTGTTGGGTAGGGACATTACCAGTTGGAGTCGTTTACAAAACCTATACTTATTCAAGGTTATAGATTAATACGGTAAAAGGATTTCGTAGTTTGACTAAGATTCTTGTTGGGTAGGGACATTGCCATTTCATCTCGGTAACAAAAACTGAACCTGTTTCAATGTTAGAAATCATTACATGTTGTCCTGATGTGCAATCAAACCCAACATTGGTCCAAATCCCTCGCTTTCCGGTCAGAATTTATTTAGTAACCATTTCTTATCCACGATAGACATCATCACACGATATTAGTGTAGTTATCATTCTTTATCGTAATTTAAACTACAATTTCTATTACTATCTGCCTATTGATTTTGTACCAGTCTGCCAAACAACTTCCATGTATAATGTACTTGGACCTTTGGCCTTCTTACTAAATCGACTAAACTTACATTGTAATGATTAATTAATCTGGAAATTTGTATAAACGGTTTGTTTAACCTCGAATAACACTGTTCGTGACTACGAGATTTCACTGTCGATTCAGGCAGGATGGGTGAATTGACAGTTCGTTTTCATAACAAAACTGTACGTGCCCAAAGGTAGAAAATCATACTATAGTGCTTGGATTTCACAATCAAACACAGATAACATTTGATAACAAAATTGGTCCAAGGCTTAGAATCATGGGCTACCACCAGCATGAAATGTATAGATGTCGGTCAAGTGCACGTTTGAGGACAAACATTAGTGTACAGATAACATATATTTAATAGTTTATTGATAGCAGTTGCTGTGACTGCAGTCAATCGGATGTGCACACATCATAATACACATTGACATATTGCAGCCCACTCACTCTACCATTTATGTATGTTTATACACAGGTCTCCCCGGCAGAAAAGGCGACCCCGGGATCAAAGGTGACACTCCTGACCCAGGATTAGTAGCTGAGAATCTTCGGAGTTACAACAGCATGCGAGGACCCCCCGGGCCTAAAGGTAGCGTGGTTTTACGTGGATGAGTTGGTGGATGAAACGATGTATAGTTTCATATAGTCGGAATCGTACAACAGACTCTGCTTTGGGCAGAGATTTCATGATTGTGGAAAGGGTTTTGTCGCTTTCATTTATTGAAGGATTACACGGCTCAGGTCTGTACACAACCCAAACAAATATATGATTCAAACAATTAATAAAAAATGTATTTGTCTTCCAGTTTGTGATATTTATATAAAGCTGATGAATGATTAACCCAATTACACAAAAAAAACACCTATAAGTACGTGTAAATCTAGGATGGAGATCGGCGTCTGACAGTGAAAACAGTCATCATGAAAGTGATCCTTTAGAAATGAACCAGTAGATCTTCAAGCAACGAAACATGCATGTAAATATGGAGATAAACATTCAAATGCATAAATATCCGATCAAAATAATGCATTCCTGTGAAATTTCATTCGTAAGAACCTGTTCCTTTCTTTTTATCTTGTGTTCCTTAATACACTCGGTTCTTCATGAACAGATAAACTTGACCTGATCCTGATTGTGTTGGTGTGGAGATTAGTTTTCTAAACTCTGTATTGAGCTTACATTGTTTAGTTGATACTGTTGTATAGTCTTCAATAGCTGTATAAATCAAAGTATTTACGAGTGTAGATAAAGATTTAAAAGGTAGCAGCCTGACAAGCACAAAAATGTCCTAATAGGAATTCACCTGATGTTACTTGAAAGAGACAAAGAACATTCTCTCATCGACTTTTTTATCGGAAAGGAAGTAAAGACTTTACGATATGTTGTCTGCCATGCAAACAACATAAAAAAGACATCGCCTTCAGCCGCTGGCTGTATTTATGTCAACAATGATTTGTTTGTTTTACCTGTTTGAACATATGTTTGGACTGGACTGACTGTAACTTTTGAAGTAAATATAATTACATCAAGATATGTTTTGAAGGACTTAACACGTGTGATTATTCCGATCTTGTCCATTCGTCATGTGAAACTCAAGAATTGAATATTGTTTTACACCGCTTTTAGCAACATTCCCGCAATATCGCGGCGGGGAACATCAGAAATGGGTGTAGGTAATCGAACCCGGGCCTTCGTCTTGATGATCGATCGCAGTAACCCCCCAAGGCTACCCAACCACCCCAAAGCGACGTGTCAGTTAAATCCCGTGTTAGAGGAAATCCCGACGTAACACGGGCGTTGCACACTTACCAGTTTGGAGAAACCTCTGAGCACGGTATTACACCTTTCAATGATATCTTGCATAAAGTGGTGATCAGAAGTTAAGCATCTTTATAACTTAACTGCTTTTAACTGTCAAAATCAACCAAAACAAGGCTAGTATATTGCGGTCAAATATGGTTCTGGCGATATATACGGTAATAAAAACTTGTTAACACAGTCGAACAAAATGAAACCATTACAAATGAGACGATGCTGCTGAAGAGCTTGATGCAGGGTGGAGAGTTTGACGAATGACACTCTGGCTTATGATCCTGAAGAGCTTGATGCAGGGTAGAGAGTTTGACGAATGACGCTCTGTCTAATGCTGCTGAAGAGTTTGATGCAGGGTAGAGAGTTTGACGAATGACACTCTATCTGATGCGGCAGAAGAGTTTGATGCAGGGTAGAGAGTTTGACGAATGACGCTCTGTCTAATGCTGCTGAAGAGTTTGATGCCGGGTAGAGAGTTTGACGAATGACACTCCATCTGATGCGGCAGAAGAGTTTGATGCAGGGTAGAGAGTTTGACGAATGACACTCTATCTGATGCTGCTGAAGAGTTTGATGCAGGGTAGAGAGTTTGACGAATGACGCTCTGTCTAATGCTGCTGAAGAGTTTGATGCAGGGTAGAGAGTTTGACGAATGACACTCTATCTGATGCGGCAGAAGAGTTTGATGCAGGGTAGAGAGTTTGACGAATGACAATCTGTCTGATGCTGCTGAAGAGTTTAATGCAGGGTAGAGAGTTTGACGAATGACACTCTATCTGATGCGGCAGAAGAGCTTGATGCAGGGTAGAGAGTTTGACGAATGACAATCTGGCTGACAACAAATGTCATACTTGCAATGTATGAAAACATTAACTTCTGCAATATCTACAATTGATTGCCCTTGAGGTCAACGTGAGTGGTTACGAACAATAATGAATAGATGTATGACTGTAATCTCAGATGATCCTACGTAAGTGATATGATAGTAAATAATATGAATCTGATCGATATGTTTCGTGTAGCTCTCCGTATTGTAATACATATCTACGTCAGTATTTTTTTCAATATATTATAAATTAAGGTTTTGGAGTGGCATATTACAATTTATGAACAAGTGGATGTATACTATGATTGTGTCGAGAATAATATCGTTGTCTGTGTATAGTGTTTCAAACTACCGAGAGTGTCTGTGACTAGTGAGGCCAATCCCCTTCGACTGATTTACCCACTAGGGACTAGTGAAACCACCTGGGATCATTGCTATGTGACAGTAAAACAACGCTCATGATATAGTCGGATCCTTACAATGGACAATGGACGAATTTTGTATGATTATAGAAAAGTTTCGATTTTATTTAGAACCACTGGCAGTGTTAGTGACTTGCATTTAGGACTAGTGCCATTTTCTGTAAATAACGTAATGCACTACAATCAGTGTACGTTATTTGTGTGTAATACCAGTATCAGTGTCTGTGACTAGTGTCATGGATTTGTGCTATATGTGTCTTATACTAGTGTAGCTTCGATGGCTTCTGTGTCTAGTGCATGTAACTTATGTCACTGCCTGCGCCGAGTGGCTGGGAGTAATGTCAATGTACTATTTTGTCCTATGTCTAATATTCACGGCATTTTATAGCACTACGTATGCACGGTTTATTGCTAATGACAATTCTGTCTGTGGTGTAGATTTGTCACTGTATCCATCTATTATCGCTGTCGAAGTATGTGTCAAGAAAGTACTGTCTGTATCAGGTGCCAGCTCAAGTAATCCTGCACTTCCATTTGTATCTAGTACCAGTGACATTGCCTGGAGCTAGCAATAGGGTGCATGTGTGTATCTCGAGCAAACGTATCACTGTCCAGTGTCCATTATGCCTGAAACTGTATAATTCTAGTATCGGTTTCACTGTCTGAATCCAGACTTCAGAGTCCAAGCGTCACTAACATGTTAGTTCAAAATCATCGATTCTGTCGTAAATGATTTACTATATTAAATGGATTCGCACGTTCCGCTTTCCACTTTCAATCTTCAGCCTACAGCCAAGTCCATTCGGATGTTCTACTGAGTCTAAAGCTAGATTTGCTTGTATGTTGAATGTGGCAATGTACACGTTTTCTTGATTTAATGGCTTACAAATTGTGGAAAGATATGTACATGACCATTTCCAGTTAAGCAACTACATGGGTGCATCCATTGTAAGACTTATACCGCCTATACCTTATTCTGGAATATCAGTCATTTTCTCTTTCGGATTTGTCTCTGCGCATTCAGAGACTTTCATAAATCGAAGAGGGTTTTTACTTAGTAATAGTTTGAATGCCATATTCATATTCAGAGAGGTATGCTAAAATCTTTGATCTGTGTCGGATATTCCACCCAATGATAATTTATAGCTTTCATGTATTGAATTAACTTTATTTAAAAAACCCGTCAAATGCAATCTGGTACTTTACACTAGTCAGTGATAAAGGACGAGCGGCCGTGTGGGTTAAGACGCAGCAACTTGCTATGGCGAATTGTTTCTCGTTGTTGCCAGGATCCGCTCATATAACAAGTCTTGATATATCAGCAACAGATATACCTGTGATCGTAATTTCTCCAACATTAAAACGCCTATGACTAACGTCACTTACCTCTAACATTCAAATGGTACCAAATACCGATGAAAACGGATCTGTAATCAGTAGGTCCATGAGTGAGTTGGATGTAACGCCGGTTTAGCATTGTTTCAGTTGCATCATGGCCTGTCTGCTTAATTGGGGAAGAAAACTCAAAGTAACTCAGATGTTTACGATATTAAGCGTCAGTGGTCTAGTGGATAGAACGTCCGCCCGGAGAGAGGAAGGTCGGTGTTTCGATCCCGCGTCATACCAAAAGACGTCAAAGATGGCAATTGTTGTTACCCCGCCTGACGCTGCGGCATGGTATCTCTGGGTTTTCACTGTAAAACCGGCATAACTTGTACCAGCAGATGCACCTACTCACACACGCACTCACATACACGCATGCATGCACGTCGATATATAAGTGCAATAATCTTGAAAGCGGCGTTAAACCCCATTTCTCCTCTCCACGTTAAACCATCAAACTCGAGTATAGTGCTGGCAGACCAGGAGTCGTTGTACGATGATTTGATAATATTTGATAAAGACAATCATAGAACAGAACATTGTTCATTGTACATGCTGAAAGCTATGAACTACCACTACCCTCACATACATACCAGCGTATAAACACACACACACACACACACACACACACACACACACACACAAACACACACACACACACACACACACACACACACACACACACACACACACACACACACACACACACACACACACACACACACACACTCACACACACACACACACGAACATTCAGGCACGCACACGCACACAAACTAATATACACACAGGCACGACCGCAAGCACGCGCACATAAACACACTGTCATACGCACGCACCTGTCGCGCACACAATACACACACATACACTCTGATATAGACACGCACACCAAACCACAACCTCACCACCAGACCAACTGTGCCCCTTCATCAATACAAGGTTGCAACATAGAGCAACATACGAGGGGACAATTAGCGTTGACAGTCCATGTTTCTTGCGACTGAGTAGACACCCTTAGTGATTGTTCTACACTGTTTATTGTCACGTTATACATGCATTAAAACTTTGCTTTGTCAGTGCTCGCCCGACGGTTATGTCATTCATCAACCATCTATCATTAATGAGTTATTGCAAGGGCAGTATCT